CTCAGATGAATCAATACTCACCCTGCAAAGTAATAGAGGGGTCATTTTCGAAAGAAACACATGGGGGGTGAAAACATGAACCGTTTCAGTGTTCCATCAGCAAAGAAAAACCAGGGAACAAATATTGGGTGAGCAACCAGTGGGGTCTCTATTTGCCAGGAGACTGTTTTCTATTTAAGTGCATTATCACTGTTAAGTCAGCAATAAATAGCTAGGAAAATCTTTATCAAAAAAATACCTAAAAGAATTGAAAGATGGAGGTGGTTTAATTTTTTTTTTAATTTACAGTCGCTGATTTTGAGACTTTTAATTTTACCCTACCCCTCCCTCAAATCTCTCTTCATTTTCTTCTCTTTAGTTGAGTTTATTTAATTGAGTCAAAGTTCTTGATTCCTTTGTACTGCTTAACCATCTTACCAATACTATCCTAAGTGAAAACTATGTGGCCTACTTCCTACTAATCTCTTCTCTGTAATCATACACAGACTAAGACATTTCAATCGACCAATCAATTTAAGTATTAGTCGTGTGTAAACTATGGATTTTTTCTATATTACAATCCAACAATATGTATAGGCTTTGATGTATGTTGGTTATTCTCTAAATCAAAAAAATATTTAAACTACTGACTTATTTACTAACACTTCTGAATAATTAAGCCCCAAATTCAAATGTTATCGATGTAATTCATAGTTTATAGGGCCAGAGAAGGTTAATTGCTTGTTTGCTTTACTAAAGTGAACAAACTTAGTACCAGAAAATATCTATGCCAAAGAAAACTTTTTATTGAAAATGAATTGTAATAAATTATCATGACCTTCTTGATAATTTCAGTTGACAAGTTTGAGTAATATTTCCATGAAATTCATTAGAGAATACCAAAGTTTCATTAAACTTCTTCATAGATCTTTTTTCCCATACCTAATAATATAGTACCAAACTGAGAGCTCAGATGATAAAGAATCTACTTGCAATGCAAGAGACCTGGTTTTGATCCCTGGGTCAGGAAGATCTCCTGGAGAAGGGAATGGCAACCCACTCCAGTATTTTTGCCTGGAGAATTCCATGGACAGGCAAAAATCCATGAGGCCGCAAAGAGTCAGACATGACTGAGCAATTAACACATTACCATACTTTTCTTCCAGGTTTCCTTTAAGATGTGAAGCACTATTTAAAAAATAGAGAGAGAAATAATCCTCCCAAGAAAATAACATAAGTCAATTCTAAGGTTTTATGTGTGAATATATCTCTGGGGAAGAGAATGAATAGGAATAGAAAAGACTATCTATGAAGGAATGAGCCGCTCTTGACAACTTTCCCCCAAATAATAATTTTAGATAGCTCAGGTGATGTAATCATTACATGAAAGACATTTCAAATTTGGAAAGAACTATTGGGCTATTTCTTAAAACTTATATTTAAAAAGATTTGGCATTTAGAGCTTCTGATGGAGGTAGGGCTGGGACTTAAAGAAGTTGCTCACTACCCTTAAGGTCTTTCAGTGACCATACCTTCTGATGGATCACCATTATCCACTCCTTGAGTAAGGGCTTCTCAACCTGGAAGCTGTCATTTTGCACCAGGTCATTCTGAGTTGTAGGAAGCTGTCATGTTCTTTGTAAGATGTTAAGTAGGACCCCTAGTTTCCACACTAGATGCCCGTTGCGCCCTGCCTACCCAGTTGTGACAGCCAGCATATCTCCAGACAAATATCCCCACGGGGCAAAATCAAAATCGCCTCCCCACTTATCTACCCCTTTATCAATTGAGAACCATTTCCCTAAATCAAAAGTATCAGATTTTCTGTGCCACTTGTCAAGTCACACTCAAAGAAACAAAGAATAGAAAAGTGGTTGCCAAGAGGTGAGGGTGGGGGAAATGGGAAGGGGGTGGTAAAATGATACAAGCTGTCAGCTGTGGAGTAAGGACTGAGGATCTAATATAATACCTGGTGACTATAACTGATAACACAGTATCATAATACTGAAACTTTCTAAGGGAGTAGAACAGGCATGTTCTCAGAAAACAAACAAACAAACAAACAGAAGCGAGTAGGATATTTAAGTGATTAAGTATGCTGTGACATCATTATAATTTTTTCCTCTAAAGTTTATATTTTTATTATAGTTAACCTGAAAACAGATGCACTTCTACTTATTAGGGTTAATTAATTAAAACAATAACTAGTTCAAACTTATTTCCAGCTATCACTTCATTTTTTATGGAAAACCCTGAGGCATATATATCACTACTGATTTAACTATCTATTCCTTTTAAACTAAAACAAACATAAAATTCTTATATCCTAGTCAAATTGAAAATGGCAATGATTAGGCAATAAAAATAATAAATTGAATCTACAGGCCCAAACAATCATACAAGCAAAGATGTTAAATCCCAAGCTTCAACTGACCATAGAGTTTCCAGTCAAGAATATCATCAGTATCTCAAAAAGAAATTAATATTAACATGACATTTTCTAAATTAGTGCTACTTACTTCCTCATGGACATTATGGTTAACATAATATGTGGAGGGGAGAAGATTAAAAGAAAAAATGTACTACAAATCAACCCAGGACAATAATTTACATATTTGATTTTTCCTTTTCTCGTTTACTAAATCTTTTGGAACTTAAGATATTATAAACATCACTATCTGTCAGGGAGATGTTTTTTATCTCCCTGCTAGTTTTAATGATAAGCTTGGAGAGGTTGGCCAGCTATTTTAAGGCCATTTAATGCATCTGAAATAGGGAAGTCACAGCTGCTAGATAAACCAGAAAAGCCATGAAGAGGAGGCCATGGTGCCTGAGGTCAGCTTTCTGAGGCTGAAGGAGAGACTGAAAGCTGTTCATGGGAAAACCATAAGTGATTCCTAGGAGAAAGGAAGTGGGAAATTGGGCAAGAGATGGGAAAAGTCAAGAGGCAAGTTACCCTTACCCTGAGGAGTGCTTCTTAAATTTAATGTGCTTTAATGTGAATCACCTGAGGCCATGTTAAGAGGCAGATTCTGACTCAGAAAGTCTGGGGTGGGGCTGCATTTCTGAGAATCCCCCACATGCTGACACTGCTGATTGGTGCATGCACACTTTACATGGCAGGGTTCTAGAACACCCTTCCCCATCCCCCATATATCTGGAAATAAAAGTGCTAACTTTGTTCATCATAAAATCTATGAGATAAGCAAGGTAAATGAATTCATTTCCCCAAATATTCAATATGGAGAAACAAGTTTTCCTTATACCTTCTTTAAAGCAGAAATAAAAGAGAAGTAAACTGCTGCTTTGATATTTAAGTTAATTTGTTAATTTTTTATTTTTTAAAGATATATTCTATTTATATTTATAGATTTAAAGAATTAGTATGGTTTTGCTTTTCATATCTTCTTAGACAGCAATCATATCTTCTATGATATGTTACTTATGGAGTAATGAAAAACTCAAATTTCTAAAATCAACATTATAGTTGAATATGAGTTGGACAATGAGTTTTAAATCAGTTTTCCAGCTCAATCCTGAGTTTCTACTCATTTGTTATGACTACCCAGGATGTGCTTTATCTTAACCATTTGATTCCTTTTGCACCTATGGGAAAACCAAATGCTGGCTTACTTCATACTCTCCCTTTCTGAGCCACAAACCAAGACCTGATTATGTGATAGGTTTTGGCATTATGTCAACGTCAAGGTGCACCAGAAAGAGAAGCAGATACAAGATGACAGATAGATGAAGTATCCCTGATGCAAAACATCCGTTGGTGAAGAAGAAGCTGCTGGTAAAAATTAGTATGTTTAGGCACAGAATTCTAAAGACTGAACACCAAGTCAAAGTAATTATAACCTCTTTGAAAAGAGGACGGTGTAGAAATAAAATAAATAGGAATATATACCTTTTTTCCTACAACAACTATTTCTAAATAGCACTTTGTATTTTCTACAAGCTATCCTTGGAAACAAAACAGATGTGTTCAGGCATTTTTTGTAGTTTTTTAGGAAGAAGAATTTTCCAAATGTATGAGCCTCTTTTTCTTCTGAAAGAAAGAATGTATGACAGAAAACCACAAAATACTGTAAAGCAATTATCCTTCAATTAATAAAAGAAAAGGAAAACTTTCTCACACAAAGAATCATCATAAACATTTGGGTCCTGAAATGGCATACACTTTAGTAACCTGTGTCTGGTTTCATAACGTTAAAGGTATATACAAAACTTAGAATTTAAAGGCAGCCATATTTTTCCTGGCTTCCCAAGTGGTGCTAGTGGTAAAGAATCTACCTGTCTATGCAGGACATATGAGAGATGGTTCGATCCCTGGGTTGGGAAGATACTCTGGAGGAGGGCATGGCAACCCACTCCAGTATTCTTTCCTGGAGAATCCCATGGACAAAAGACCCTGGTGGGCTGTATAGTTCAAAGGGTCGCAAGGAGTTGGACATGACTGAATGACTTAGCAAGTGTATATATATTTTTGTAAATAAAATGCCTAATTTTAAACTGACCTAGACAAATTGAAGACATTTTAAGCAAAGGAATGAAGGCAACACAGGTTATAGTCTTGACAAATACATCCCACTCTACTTGGAATTGTCTCCACAGTTGATTTTAAGGCTACAACTCTAGAGGCAACCATCTCCAAATACACATTTTCCATATCACTTAAAATTTGTGAAGTCTCTTCTCAACTCACTGATTCTGACTGCATCACAAAAAGATGTTAGGTATCATGCTTAGATCATCTGCATGATGACAGTAATAGTCAAACCACTTATTTTAGTTCATTCAAGCTATGGATAAATTCAGAAGAGGGGGAAAAAAAAAACTTTCCAATTGTTCATTGTTTCCTTTGGCCCCAATTTTTAGGTTTTTTTGTTCCTGTATTGACTACAGTGATAAACAAAATTTCTCATCAGAAGTATAGGAGTTCCTGTCCCCAGTAATCCTAATCTCTAAGAAAGGCAATGCACAGAATTGTGTTCCTTTCAAAAGTTAACCAAACTCACCCCATGTGATGGATAGGAGATCCAGCCCAGCTCCCCTTGAATGGTTTTTGAATCCAGTAAATTGACTGAAAAAAAAACAAAAAAACACAGGTACACAAACACAGTTAAAAGGAATGAATTCTATTTAACTGTCAAATTGACATTGTGTGTATTGCTGAAATGACAACATGTTAAAAAACATGACTCTGCTCATTCTCATTATATGTGTATGATTAATATAAGAAGGGTATTACAAAGAAAAGAAATAGGGAAAGGTAAGGGACCAAAAGTTTCTGTGACTTTTTTTTAAACTGTTTATGTTTGTTTATAAATATATTATATTCAATATACTGACAGAATAATTTCAGGTTTAAAGAGGACACTATAAAAATGCAAAGTAGGAAACACTAATGCAAGCAAGAAATCAAAATAATTGCAAAGACCATTAAATTTGACAAATTGACATATGATTTCACTATAAATTAGTTAAACATGATTTCATAGTGAAACATATTTTTTACATATTTGATATGACATCTTCATACTGTCCTTGGCCAAATATATTATTCTGTAATCTGTATTTTTTAAATACTGTATAAATTGTGTACTTATACATAATGAATAAAATGCTTAGCTACCAGTTTGAGGAAAAACCAAAGTAAAAATATGTATTATAATCACACCTGTGTAAATCTGTACTTATTTAAAGAAAGCATTGTTACCCAAAGGCTTCAATAATTTTGCTCAGAATTTTCTGCTAATTATTAAGTCTGGTAAATTATAAAATATAACAAGAATGTGGCTGCATTTTGAATATATTAAAAGAGAAAGGCAAATGATTTATTTTAAGCCCNTATGTATTATAATCACACCTATGTAAATCTGTACTTATTTAAAGAAAGCATTGTTACCCAAAGGCTTCAATAATTTTGCTCAGAATTTTCTGCTAATTATTAAGTCTGGTAAATTATAAAATATAACAAGAATGTGGCTGCATTTTGAATATAATAAAAGAGAAAGGCAAATGATTTATTTTAAGCCCAGAAAGTATTAATTTGAAGTGGATTAAAATATAAAAAGTTACTTTAATAACAAAGGGATTGTGTTGATTGTCAATCTGTTAAATAGTGGAAACTATAGTTTTACCACATCCTTTTTCTAAATTAGAAAATAACCCCATGATTGATTAATGGAAGATGCAGAAGATTAATCCCAGTGAGAAGTAATTATATTTAGGTAAAAGGAGAAGAAAGTTGTTGCATAGATTGCATAGTGTAATTTCCATAATGAAATTATTTCCTCGGATATCAGTTTGGAAATTAACAGTATGCTTAATTATATTGAAGTTATCTCTGAAAAATGATTCTTTAAAAACATTTACCAGTAATGTTACAGATAATATTTCAGATAGAGCTCAGTCGTGTCCAACTCTTCAACTCCATTGACTATAGCCCACCAGGCTCCTCTGTGCATGGGATTTCCCAGGCAAGGATACTGGAGTGGTTTGCCATTTCCTTCTCCAAGTGATCTTCCCTACCCAGGGCTCAAACCCATGTCTCTTGTGTCCCCTGCATTGTCAGGCAGATTCTTTACCACGAGTGACACCTGGGAAGTCCAGGATTTCAGATTAAATCATGTTAAAGAATTTTTGAAAAGATGAGAATACATCCTCACCTTTAAAGTATGTTACCAACATCCATTCTGATAAAGACACACCTACTGCAGTTGTTGGTCCTGTCAGTCATCAGGTGACTTCCCATCAGGTGATTTACACTCAGGGATTTGCATAGTGGACTCTGCAGGGCCAGTATTCATAAGTCATTAGATCAGATTTGTAATGTCTTTAGGGATTTAAATGATTCAATGTTTTTGTGTGTATGTAATAATTGAATATGTACTAAATGATGAATATATGTCACTCCACATGTTAAGATGAATGGATGATTTAATTTCAATATTAATAATCAGAGGAAAAAAGTGTTTGAGGCAAGGAAAATGTGATTTAGTAATTTAGTAAATTACTCATTGGAAGGTAGGTTGTTTACTAAAGAGCTATACCCTTAAGTTTTCCCTGATGATAATGATGAGGGGGAAAAAGACTAGATTAGTCACATTAGCATTTGGTTTCTACTCAAAGGAGAAAAGCTAAACCAAAAAGAATTGCATTGCATTGTCAATTAAAATTAAGTGTGAGAGATTAATTAAAGCTATTGCATTCACTCAGAAATTGAATTTTTAGTGCAGTCTATTTAACTTGAATGAAGGAACACAAAATTAGCAGCATTACTATGATTCTGATCCTCTGATCTATTAAACATAATAATGTCTGCACTGGTTATCTCATAATATTGCTATGATGATCAAATAATATAAATTTATTTAAAGCCACTTGAGATCTTAACATGCTATACAGATTCAATGTTCTTGTAAACTTAAAATATTAACTAACAACAGTTTCATTTTGTCTTCTGAATTGTATTGAAAATCAACCGTCAATATATGGCCTAATAGAGAAGAAAATTGGCATCAAAATTCTTTTCAAAAGCACTTATTTGGGGCTTATAAAGTGTCTTTTGTTTATAAATAAATAAGAACAACACAACCTATGAATTCTAACCACATTAAAGTAATGACTGTTAGACTGAAACTGGCCATGATATAAACCTCCAGTCTGCTGTGATCAGTTGTATAGCAATCTCAGTGTAGCGCAATTGAGATAAGAAGAGAAAGTTAATGGAATTTGAAAGTCAACCTGCTGTGAGTAATGTCTCTGGATACACTGATCCAGGGACATCACTCTAACCTTGCAATACAATGTCTTAATTATCACAATCATACAGGCAAGAATATTAGTTACTAATGCTTTCCTCTTGCAAAAATGTTGGAGACCTAATCACAGTCTAAGGGGTACTGTTTAAATCAGAGCAGATAGAATTGTGATGTACAGATATATTGTAGTCTGAGTATAAGTAAGAATGCATACTATGAAAAGTTTATTTTAATTGCTGAAAATTTTGCATTTAAAAATCATCAATTTTAACAAAAAAGAGTCTGGTAATTATGTTTAAGGGTAGGTGGGAATATATAGATAGACGAATTCTTTAATGACTGCCTCATGCCAGGTTATATGCCAAAGGTACAAATGATCTCTTACTAGATTTCATATTCTAATAGTTTGATTTCCAAATAGTTTTGATTTGTAATAGAAGATATCTCAGTTCCTTAATTTCAAAATACTTTCTAGTCAAAGAGCTATGTAGCACAGATGAGCTTCTAAAAGTGTTTGAAATTGAACACGTTTTGCAGTGTTCCAACCCAATTAGGTTGAGATATAAATAGAAACCTTTTGGCAAAAAAACACTGTGAGAAGTCTGGTTGGATATTGTTCTCAATGTCTTTCACATGCTTTATTTACTGTCTAGTCTCACTGCTTTTAAATAGGAAAAAAAAAAAAGTGTATAAAGGTGAAGGCGTTTACAGTCATGAAAACAATAAGGGAATCCTTACTCAGTCCCCTTGAACTGGCTTTGAGGTGGGCACCAAAGGAGATTGGCTGGTCAAAACAATGTGTGCTGTCTGATAGGGATTAGAAGGTGTAGAATGAAGCAAGACAGATTTGATTTTCTTGGGCTCCAAAATCACTCTGGACAGTGACTGCAACCATGAAATTAAAAGACAGTTGCTCCTTGGAAGGAAAGCTATGACAACCCTACCTAGGGTATTTAAAAAACAGACATCACTTCGCTGACACAGGTCCTGATGGTCAAAGCTATGTTTTTCCAGCAGTCATGTATAGATGTGAGAGTTGGATAAAAAGAAGGCTGAGTACTGAAGAATGGATGGTTTCAAATTGCAGTGCTGGAGAAGACTCTTAGGGTCTTGAGGACAGCAAATAAATCAAACCAGTCAATCCTTAAGGAAATCAACCCTGAATATTCATCAGAAGGACTGCTGCTGAAGGAGAAGCTCTGATACTTTGGCCACATGATGTGAAGAGCCTACAATTGGAAAAGAACCTGGTGCTGGGAAAGACTGAGGAGATGAAGTGGATATGCAGCAGAAGATGAGATGGTTTCATGGCATCACCACTCAATGGACATGAATTTGAACAAACTCTGGACAGGTTCGATGCTGTAAAGAACAATATTGCATAGGAACCTGCAATGTTAGGTCCATGAATCAAGCCAAATTGGAAATGATCAAACAGGAGATGACAAGAGTGAACATCGACATGCTAGGAATCAGCGAACTAAGATGCACTGGAATGGGTGATTTTAACTCAGATGACCATAATGTCTACTACTGTGGGCAGGAATCCCTTAGAAGAAATGGAGTAGCCATCATAGTCAACAAAAGAGTCCAAAATGCAGTTCTTGGATGCAGTCTCAAAAACGAAAGAATAATCACTGTTTGTTTCCAAGGCAAACCATTCAATATCACGGTAATCCAGTTCTATGCCCTGACTAGTAATGCTGAAGAAGCTGAAGTTGAACAGTTATATGAAGACTTACAAGACCTTCTAGAAACAACACACAAAAAATATGTCCTTTTCATTATAGGGTACTGGAATGCAAAAGTAGGAAGTCAAGAAACACCTGGAGTAACAGGGAAATTTAGCCTTGGAGTACAGAATGAAGCAGGGCAAAAGCTAATAGAGTTCTGCCAAGAGAATGCACTGGTCATAGCAAACAGCCTCTTTCAACAACACAAGAGAAGACTCTACACATGGACATCACCAGATGGTCAACACTGAAATCAGATTGATTTCAGACCTAACAGAAGCCATTAAGAAGAGGTGGCAAGAATACACAGAAATACTGTACAAAAAAGATCTTCATGACCCAGATAATCACGATGGTGTGATCACTCACCTAGAGCCAGACACCCTGGGATGTGAAGTCAAGTGGGTGTTAGGAAGCATCACTATGAATAAAGCTAGTGGAGGTGATGGAATTCCAGTTGAGCTATTTCAAATCCTGAAAGATGATGCTGTGAAAGTGCTGTACTCAACATGTCAGCAAATTTGGAAAACTCAGCAGTGGCCACAGGACTGGAAAAGGTCAGTACTCATTNATCCATCAACAGA